TTGAGATTTTAGTTTTATTTTAAGCATATTGTGTAGAATGTAAAACGCTAAACAACTTTTGTGTGATCACCCGCACCAAAAATTTGATGACATCATCTCAAAAATTTGCTAGTAAATCCTACTTATGAAAACGTCTAATATAATATGCGTTCAGCGATTTATTAATTCAATCATAGTTTTGATCTTCGGGATGTAGGCTTTTGGGAAAAATTTAAAACTGTACAACAAAATTTTACAGTTGAACCTAGACACTACAAACCCAACAGTTTTAGTGGATTTTTTTAATAGAGTCTGTTGAAGAAATTTGCAAAAAAATTATTTACAATATAGTAGAGATTTCTTGACAGTTAACATGTAAGTTGGCAGCATTTACAATATAGTAGAGATTTCTTGACAGTTAACATGTAAGTTGGCAGCAACCTAACACTATAAAATGCGCTGAAATTTCTACGCTGTCGCTGTCTCTGTTACAAATGTTAAACTACTGAAGTTCTATTACTGAGGTTGCCTTTTTTTCTTAATATGTGTAGTCATCTTTTCACAACAAGACACTTTTTAAAATATGTTTAAAATGATAAATTTGAGTAGGGAAATATCGATTTTGCAATTACGCTCCGCCCCTCGGTCTGACAACCAATGAAAAATTCATCACGATTGAGATCGAGACGGATGAGTGGGTCTTGTCTTTTGGTTTTAATTTTTAATTAATACATGTAGGGCCAGTTTACAGAAAAGCGAACTAAATATTTAATCCTCGATTAATTTAGCACAGGATTAAAATGAGGAGTATGAGCCCGTGATTGGTTAAAACATGTACGTTGCCTATGAACACACCTCAATTAAAAGTTAATCGCGAATTAACTTTAATTTCGCTTTCTATAAACCGGGTCTTAGTTGTCTTTGTATAACACGATTACTTAAGAACAATTTCACATGGTAATTTCTGGTAGAAAAGTAAGTATTTTACAATTAACCTCCTCCCCTCGGTTTCCGATTAATAAAAAAAATCATCAGAATTGAGATAGGGTGGGTGGGCGGGGCTCATATTTTTCCTTTTTTTTATATACATAGCCATTTTTTCACAACAAGAAACTTAGAACATGGTTAAAATGGTACATTTTTGCAAGGAAATATGGATTTTGCAATTATGGGTCGGAGCCTAATTGCAAAATCGATATTTCTTCATACAAATTTTCCATTTTAAACATGTTTTAAATTGCATGTTGTAAAAATAAGTCTACACATATTGAAACAAAAAGGCAAAATGTAAGCCCGCCCACCCGCCCTATCTTAATTCCGATGATTTTTTTTTATACACCGTGAACCAAGGTGATAAGCTTAACAGTAAAATACTTATTTCTTTACAAGAAATTAAAAGCATGTTTTTAAGTTTCGTGTTGTTCAAAGAATGCTATGTATATTAAGAAAAAAAGGCAAAATATAAACCCCGCCCACCAACCTCATGTCAATTGTGATGATTTTTTTTTATTCTTAGAAACTTGAAACACGTTTAAAATGGTAAATTTTGTAAGAAAATATGGATTTTGCAATTAGGCTTCGCCACCCCTAGGTCTTGCCAACGAATGAAAACTTCATTACTATTTAGATCAGGGCGGGTATGGGTGGGGCTTAATCTGTGGCTTTCATTTTTTCTTAATATATGTACATAGTATTCTTTGAATAATACGATAGTCAAAAACATGATTTACATGGTAATTTCTTGTAGAAGATAATAAGGGTTTCGCAATTAAATTCCGCTCCTTTGGCTTTCGACGATTAAAAAAAAATCATTACAATTGAGATCGGGTGGGTGGGCAGGGCTTATATTTTGCCTTTTTTCTTAATATACGTAGTCGTCTTTTCAGAACATAAAACTTAAAATATTCATACAACAAACATAAAATTCTTGTAGCCAAATATGGATCTTGCAATTAAGCCCCGCCCCTCGAACTAACAACAAATGAAAAATTCATCACAATTGAGAATTGAGATCGGGGCGGGTATGGGTGGGGCCTAATCTTTGGCTTTATTTTTTCTTAATATACACAGTATTCTTTGAACACCACGATACTCAAAAACATGTTTTAATTTCTCGTAGAGACATAAGGATTTTGCAGTTAAGCTCCGCCTTCTTGGTTCACGACGAATAAAAAAAATCATACAATTGAGATAGGGCGGGTGGGCGGGGCTACGTTGTGCCTTTTTTTTTCCTTAATATGTGTAGACTTATTTCGACAACAAGAAAAAAGTAATTCCCCACTTTTTTTCTACAAGTGCTTTAAATGCGACAAAAGTTGACCATCAAAGTTCTTATAAATGGCAACTTGGCAACGGTTCTAGGAGATATTTCAAATAATTTTCAGGAGAATACAAAGGTATAATGATACTAGACATCAGAATTCATTTTCGTATCGTAAAGTTATAGCTCCTAAACGTAAAACTTATTTTTCATAGCGTTTGAGATTAGATTCATTTTTAAATTTCAAATTTCGCGCGGATGGTAGACTTTTCTTCGCGTAGATTTTTAGTGACTTTTCTGTCACTCAATTTCTCACCGTATTGTAAGATATCTCATTTAATTTTAAAATGTCATGTGTGTTTTGAAGTTGGTTTATCTCCCTGACGAAACGTCGTGCATTTTCCGCCCATTTTTTAATTTTTGCTCACAAACATATTATTGCTATTTGCTCTACAATGTTTCATTCTTATTTTTCTCTAATTTCGGTTCATTTATCTAATTTAAACTTCTTAAGCTTAATTAAGGTTGAAGCGTCTCAATCTAAACTATTAAACAATTGTAGATATGTACCCTACTTTAGTTTGAGAATGTTAATTGTATTTATTTCCCACTCTATCTTTGAAGATTTTCTCTTTCCTCTTCAAAAATGAAAAAACGCGACATTTTTAACAAATAGAACAAAATCACAAACAAAATTTTAACCTATAAATTTCTGGAAAACCGACTACACAAACGCACAAAAATCCTTCATTTTACTTTATTCTAATCACTCATATTAACTGTGACTTTAACCTGATTTCATTCATTAACATTGTTAAACATTTTCAACGCTAAATAAGATTACAAGCGACAAAACTATGGCGGCGCAGTTTGGCTCTCGTTTTCTGGTAAAACTTTTAATCGGCGCAGTGTGGATGTACCGAAAATTCATTTATAAAATATACATATTAGATCCCTATTTTTTGTCTGAAATCGTCATTGTATGGAATTTGCCCCCGAAAGACTGATTACAAGTGATTTATATTTAATGTTGTGTTACAACTGGGCCGATTTTAATCAAATCTAGTGCACGACTAGCTTAAGCAAATCTCTTTTGTCATATTGACGAGTAGGTATTGTACCTCTAAAACTGTGTCAAGTGTTCTACTTTCGCGTTGAATTTTTATCTGCATCTGCATCTCAATCTACAGACACATTAATCCTTAATAAAAAAAAATCTCATGTTAAATTGACGTGGGACGTGTAGCTTTCGGTATAATGAACACCAGATTTTTAGATACCGGGTTTCTTTCGGAAATCTTCGTAATGTGTGAATATTCTGAAAATACTGCAAGGGTTTTTTGAGTCATTTATGTCCGAGTAAATATTTCTAAACAAGATTACAGATTTACCGTTTAACGATTTTAACATATAATTTGTATTGACGTCAAATACAATTGTATTATAGCAGAAAAACGTTTGCTAAATTGGATACATTACCGTATACCTGCACAAGTATTTATTACTTCTATTTCCTGCAAAGTTTCCTTTCTTATGTAGACGAGAGAAATTGTACAGCTGAGCAGTTATTACACCATAATTTTACAATAATGATATGCTTCTGTCTACGTTTGAACATTGTATGATGGAGGTATTTTCTCAACTTTCTTTTGAAATCTTGATTACAAAACTAAGGAAGAGTGAAGTCGGTGTTTTTCTAAACAACATAGATAAATATTTATCTCAATATTTTGTGGATGCTCTCATTATTGCCATTAAAATCAACACCTTAACCATATCGCTACACATCCTGTCAAAAAGACCTGTTATCAGCCTTATCGCAACCACCTAATGTTTTGTTTCATTAACTTATCGACGAAAGTCCACACAAAAATGTTATGATTAAGTGTAAATCAGATTATTTTTCCCCGTTTTAACCTCATGTGGAAGAAACCGACAACGGTTGAGCATACGTATACACACCTATACCACCGGTTTGGTGCTCGCCTGAAACCTCATAAATAATTTATCGTCGTGTTACTTTTGTCACAAAAAACCACCTTCGCATTCTTTCCAAACAGATTTTTCTAATTACAAAACTTCACTTAACTGCCTTATTGATTCAACGGAAAATTACCCTCAGTTTCCGCGAAGTTATGATTAATAGCTCCTCAGAAACAGCAAATTTTATGAATCACGATCTAATTTTAAGGGTGATTCCGGGACATTTCCGGTTTTTTTCAATAAGGTACGTATCGCTTATCAGTTTTTATCGATCGGCTCGAAGCCGACCCCGTCAAACCTGAATTTTCAACACGCCACTGGTTTTTCGACACACAGTATGGTCGCAAAATCGGCCCGTGTTTCTAATGAACATAATCACGGAACGAAAGTGTATTAATGAAACAAAGCGAGTCAAATAATCATTACACTATGTTAAATTAGCCACTCGCATGAAATTACATAAAAATAAATAACTTTCACTGAACTTTGCGATAAATTTTCTTAAGTTGCGCAATTCGTAACACCTGTCATACGTTACCACGAGTGTTACAAAAAAATTGTAACAGCGCAACGGCGTAACAGTACTGAACATATGTCTTAATTAGGACACAGCTCGTATGCAAATCAGTGTCGCCGAGAGTAACGGAACTCTTGACAGGCGTCGAAATGAATGCCAAAGGGGCATTAAACTTGTATATTTATTTATAAATCGCATCAGACAAAATGGCACCCAATCGCATGCAACTTACAACAAAAATCACTAATATTTATTAATTACCTTTGTGTTGCACCCCAATCTCTTCACACTTTACTCATGTGCTATATAACCACACTGTAGTAAAAATTTTTTAGTCTTTTAGTACACATTTTGGGATTTTTTTTTGAAAGTTTCTGAGACAATGCACTAGCAGAGCCTACTTTCTCGCCGTATGTTGACAGCTCACAGGTTCTCCTGTAACTAGTCAGCTGTTTGTCAAGTTAGCCTTGGCAGGAGGCGGAGTGGGGGCAAAAACGTGTGCGCAACAGCGCCAATTTCAAACCTCATCAAATTTTAATCGCAATTAATGATTCGTTCAAAACGCGTAACATTCCACTACTCCGATTCAAAACTACCCGAAATTTCAAACACAAAATGGGGAACGAGATGACTTTATTGATGCGAGATTTTACATTGCAGTTTTTTTATTACAAATATCGGTATGAGAATGAGTAATGACATGACTTCGGATTCCTCTGTGTGTCACTTTTTCCCTGACTTCTTAATCCCGCCGCCAACCAAAGGTCCCTTCTGGGAAGCCTTGGCTTTGGCTTCCTGAAGAGCCTTCTGCTGCTCCTTCAGTTTCTGCTTATGGGCAACATCTGACTCATCCATCTCTTTCGATTCTTTCTTGGGTTGCTTGAGGGGCTTCTTCTTACCGCCTTCGCGACTTGACATACTGTAACGAAAGCAAAAATGAAATTTTCCTCCTAGTGCGACATAACCTCGAACTGATTTTTTTGACAAATCGAATCAACAGTGAGTTTCGCGGTTAAAGTAAATGTTGTTAGTAAGAATTACCTGATAATTTAGAAGTAGATGAAGAAAACGAACGTTGTTAAATGTTTTGATGAAAAACGTGACAGTTGCTTTTAATGGTTGTTTTTTTTTCCGCCCGGCAACCTCTACAACAAAATTTCCCTAGCAACTGTGAATGCTCAAATTTGTTTTTGGAAAATCGGCGCAACGAGACAATATTTCGCACAATGGGTGCTTAATTGTTGTAAAATGAGCACTTTGGAAGAGATTTGAGCCTATCAATGAAAAAATAAAGACGTATTTTTCAACGTCCTGGTGTCCTTTTGAAAATCAATACTGCAACCTTGAATTACGTTAACGGCGGTAAATTCAAAATGGGTGCTTTATTGATTCAACAGGTTTTCAAGTAAATGACAGACAGAGGTCAAGTAACATTTATTAGATGTTAAATAACACATACTTTAACTTAATTACAATTCAATAAAAAATTAAACTAACGAAAAGAATAATACAATTTGCAGACAATCTTACGTTTGTACTTACTGAACTCACAAGATAAAATAATTTTTAAATTTTATCTCAGATCTCGAATGTTCATGTTACAACAATGTATTTAATGAAAACTCTAAAAACATCGTAACGTTGCCAAAATAACATCATTGATGTATCTGGTAGATATTAATATTACTCAACTCATCTAAAATACATCTCTGCCATCCAGCACTCCATTACCGTTACTAATTTCGACGGGCTTTCTACAAACAAAGTAGACACTATCATACTCATACTGAAGCATGGATTTGGGATTCTGGCAATATTTAGTCTTAAGGCCAGTTCTACACTTCTCCATTTCAAATCCTATATTTTTAATCACCTCACAGACAACTTCGAAGCTTGGTTCAACGCTCTTTTCATTCTTCACGTCAGAATAGTGGTACAACAAAGGCCCCAGATTTATCCAGACTCCTCCTGGCTTGAGAATATGATAAATAGTTTCGATAAATTGGACCACATTGGGGGCACAATCTATAAAGAAACAAGTGGCAACACAATGCCACTCATCATGATCTGTATAAACCTCCAAAAAATCGCCCGCTGTCATTGAAAACTTGCTGTCAGGAGTAGGCATAGGTTTAACATCTGGAAACCTTTACAAACATTACAAATTCCAATAAACCAACCCAGTACTCACTTAACGCTTGTCATTTGGTGCTCGGCAGTTAAATTATTACAATACTGATGTATCCACGGATAAATTGTATACTCGTCCACATTCTTGCAGTGGTTCAACACATAATACGAAACAATAAGCATAAATAAGTTGAATTCGTTGCCCTGACAGGCAAAACCCCTCGTCGCAATTTCAAAAGCTAGTCGCCCCAGCCCGGCCCCCGGCACCAACACGTTAATGTTACTTCTATCAAACTTCTCTTCCGGAAACTGACAGATGATTTCGTCAATGATTGGCTGGTAGCACTGGCTTCGCTCGGCGGCCCCTAAGGCGCTCCAATCCCGCATCAACTGCTTGAACACTGACTGGACCTTATCCAGCCCCTCTGACAACGTCCCGACTTTAATTTCCGAATGCGACGACCCGTCGTTGCTGTATACGTTATCAAAAATCGTGTGGGCATGCTGTAGTACGATGGGGATAAATTTAGAATTTTTTTCAATGCATTCCTTGAAAGTTTCTAGATCTTCCTGGTATTTTGAGAGCCACTTTTTGTGATATGAAGGGAGCGTAGCGAGGCATTTTTGCTTGTGGTCGATCCGCAACAGCGACTGTTCTCTGAAACAAATTTGAATCAGACCTTGTCTGCAGTAGAATAACAATTATTATTAATAAATACGATGACGTTATTGATGCGTAGGCGCGTGTTATTCTCGGGTTAACTATTTACTTAGCGTTTTAGTGGCGTGCTTTTTATCTTGTTTGAACAAGGGAAACGGGCGAATTTCTTTGTCTTACCTATAGCTTTCAAAAGTTGAAAGAACGGAAAGAAAGTACGCTTTTTCTTCTTTCGCGCCGTTGATTTCCTGGTTCATTTTTTACTCGAGCACTTTTTTATTTATTCAATTTAATAATCACTACTAACTAATATCACATTACACGATTTTTTTAAATAATTTCTACTTGCGGTGCCCTATCCTAACCTAAACTGAACCCCAAGCGGCCATCTTTGCACCCAGCGTTGCTTCCGCATTGAAGATTTCTGTATTACCGAGTCTAAATTAAACAATTCACCGGGAAAATTTCCCTCGTACGACACTTATAGGTGGGAAAAGATTCCTGAAGCAAATATTAGCTTCGGTGTAACACCGCAGCCGCCAGTTTTTGTGTTTTAATTGTTTATAAAACGTAAATAAAGAAATTTTCCATCGTGTTGACGCTGACTGTCGCTAGGTGGTGCTGCTCCTGTCACAAATGTCAAATTAATAAAAACGGGATTACATCTGGTTGTTCGCGTTCGCGAACTCAATATAAAATAAAGTACCAGGCAAGGTCACTTCAGTTTGTTATGATAAAAGCTGAGTGAATGTGCAGTTGAAGAAATTGTGTACAAAATCGCACGAGTTTTCCAAAGCGACAATGAAAATAACCCCGAAGACCTTTCAGAGCATTGCAAAAATGCTCGATTTTTATTCCCAGTTCAACCCGTCCCCACTGTCCATCAAAAAATTCATAGATTTTGGTAAGTTGTAACGTAGTCTATTTTGATTGCCCTATTTATAAAACTATACTTAGAAGTATTTAAGGTTAGGTGGATGATCGTGGGTTTCACTTGTTTCGTAAGGGTAGGTCTCGGTGACGGGAAATCAATTGCTGTCAAATCTCACTTTTCGTGAAAGTCATTAAAGGTGTTAAAAGATATTTTCGCTTTTAATTTTCAAGTGTTAATTGAAAATTAGTTTGTGTAATTTTGACGACTTTAATTTTGAACCGGAACACATCAATCAGTGATCAATTATTACAGGTGTTTGTTAAATAAGGTACCAAAACAATTAACCGCAAGCCAACTTTGAAGTTTATTAAATCGTGTTTTTAATTTTAAGCGCATTTCCATCAAGGTGGCGGATTTAGTTTGCCCGCCTTTTCAGATAGGGGTTAGAACGATAACTTTCCCGCGAATTGGGACCACCATCACAAAGTGCAAACAAACATTTATAGTCACTGTGTATATTTTGAAATTACTTACGCAGCGAAAAACATGCAAAGTAATGCAATAATCCGTTTCAAAATTTTCTGAAGATAAGTCAAAAGAAAACAATATTGTCTTACAGGCCAAAACATGAATACGTTGAGTTCAAGGTTCGAATCATAAACTTGACTTTTTAGTGAACTGTTACGAAATTATTAATATAATCTGTGGAATATTGTAATACATATTTAGAGTTGAAGAAATATACTTCAATATAGGTTTTTGCTTGATGAATTAATGGAACACGAAAAACACGAAAAAAATTTAAAACTAAATCTAGGACTTATAAGCATGGAAAAGAGGGAAGAGGTTTGTACATACAAGTTGTGTTCGCCCTAAAATTAGTTTTAAATTTATTATCGTGTCGCCGAAATTTATAATGAACTTTCTAAGTATGGACGATGTCCAAATTCCCATTAGTTGTGCAAAACAAGCACATTGTTGTTTATTAATCCCAAAATTAGAGCCCTTGTACTTGCATATATGCTATAATTTTATTAAAATTGTAGATCCGCTGGAATGTTCATAAATTCATATTATATTTTTAATTACCTATAGTCATTAAAGGGTAAAACGTGTAAATTCTGCAAACGCGAAATTTGTGTAAATTGTGACATATTGGTTAATCCAAATTTTGAGCACATGATATTAATCACCACAGTTGTTTATACACCTGCGGATAAAGACTTATCTTTTCCCGCCAATATATGTTTACCAAAATACAACGTTCGTGTAAAACGAAGCAAAGAATTATAGATAGATAAATTAAAAATTTTTCAAAAATAAAACCATCAAGAACATCGACGGGTCTTTGACGTAAAAAAACACTACACGACCACAAAATCTTTTCACAATCTTAAAAAAAGACTCTTTCGAAAACAAAACACCTGAAGTCCAAAAAAAAAACATTAAGAAACCTCAAGATTTCTTCAAACTCTTCCAAAAAGAATTAAATACCAAGAACTCACGAGACTTTCAAATTCTTGCAAAAATAGAACACCTCCAATCCCCAAGATTCTATCACATTCTAAAAAAAAAAGAAGCAAAGGAAGCCTCCAAGATCTTTTCATTTTTTTTTTTTCAAAAACAAAGAGGGTTTCTAAGATTTGTTTCATATGAAAAAAAAAAAAAAAAATAGGGGATCCCAAGATTCTTTCATACTCTTTCAAAAGTAAAACATCTGGAGGCCTCAAGATATTTTCACATAATTTCAAAAAGAATAAGTCAGTTTTACTTTAGAAAGCAAATGATACACTTTAAAAAAAAGAGGGCCGGTGGACCGGGTAGTAATTGCAAGCACTAGTTCGTAACCCCGTATTTTTTGAAACAATATATCATTTGCCAAAGTCGATTGTACTTTAGAAAGTATTAGCCCCGCCCACCCACCCTGTATTTTCTTAAAGAGTATATGATTTGCCAAAGTCAGTTCAACTTTAGATATGATTTGCCAAAATCAGTCTTATTTTAGCAAATAATAGCCCCGCCCACCCGCCCTCTATTTTTTAAAGAGTATATCATTTGCCAAAGTCAGTTGTACTTTAGAAAGTATTAGTAAAAGTATTTTTTATTAAAACCCAAGTATACAATAATTATTTGTTTAACTGCTTGACGAGACGACAAAAAATTGTCGTGCGACTGTACCAGGTGTCTGGAAAATGGCGGATTAACTCTTCACTACGTTATGTACGGGCGTTTCGGCAGTCCCAAAAAATAATAAAAAAATTCTTTATGATGTAGATTACGAAAAAACCGTAATTTTATAAAAGTGAAATTGGCAATACTGCACGCACCTAATGCGTGAATATGTACCTATACTGCACGCACCTAATGCGTGAATATGTACCTCCGGCTTACTTTCTGATTTTATTTTTTTTTAAGACAATAACCGTAAAAACCAGTAGTCATTAATCGTTGTGCATTATTATTAATAAAACAAGCTATTATTTTTTATTAATCAATAAACCAAAAAAAAAAAAACATTTAATAAGACTAACAACTAAACACTAGAGAAAATGTTCAAAATTCCTGCTTGTGCATATAAGTAAGCTCGCAATGTTTCCAAATTTTGATCATTTTTTGTAAAAGTAAGATAAGTTTAGCGTTTTTCTAGTTTTGTGAACAAACAGTAGCCCCGCCCACCCACCCCTTCCTCATTCCAGTGACTACTCTTAATATTGTTCAGTTCTATCGTAGGAAGTTTTAGCCCCGCCCACCCTAGCCTTTATTTTCATAAAGGATATGTCATTTATCAAAATCAGTCTTATCTTAGCAAGTACAAGCTCAGATTAAACTGATTTTGGCAAATGAGATACCCTCTAAGAACAGAGAGGGCGGGTGGGCGGGGCTATTACCTTCTAAGATAACACTGATTTTGGCAAATGAGATACGTTCTAAGAAAATAAAGGGTGGTGGGCGGGGCTAGTACCTGCTAAGATAAGACTGATTTTGGAAAATGAGATATGACTCAAATGACGTATCCTAAGAAATTTAATTAATTAGTATAAGAAAAGACAGTAGAGGCTCCAAAGCACTTTCAAATTCTTTCCAAACAGGAATTCCTAGAGTCTCAAGATTGCTTTAAATTTTTCAAAAAAAAAACGGGGTTCCAAAATTGATTCAAAAACAGGTTAGGTCACAATTTTCCAAAAATAGAACACCAAAATGTGAGAAGATTTTTTTTTACTATTTTTCCCAGACTCACCAGTTGATTAAGAGCATAGCGGAGAGTTAATCCGCCATTTTCCAGACACCCGGTATATCGAATAAAAATCCATACATCAAAAAATCTTCTGATAGGTTTATAGAATAATAATAATTAGCCTATCATTTGACATAGTTATATGATTTTTTTTGAAACATCATCTAATATATGTATAATAAATATGATTTTTAAAAATTTTCACTTTTCAGTTTTACGGTTTTAGAATTTTTTCATTTTTCACTTATTCGATTTTTCATGTTTTCCATTTTTAATTTTTTAATTTCTCGATGTTTAAATTTTCGATTCATTCATTTTTTGGATTTCTAAGGTTATCGATTTTAGTTTTTCAATAATTCAATCTTTCGTTTCTTCGGTGTTTTGATTTTTGATAAAAAAGATGAAAAAATTGCAAAATTGTAAATTTGAAAAATAAAAAATGAAATACTAATGAAATGAAAACTTAAAATAAAAAAACTGAAAAATATAAAAATATTGTAAATCAAGACCTTGAAGGATTGAAGAAATGAAAAAATGAAAATTGGAAAATTAAAAATTCAGAAAGTTAAAAATCGAAACAGTGCAAATTGGAAAAAACGCAATTTGTATTGTAAAATCGAAATTTTTAAAATCCAAGATCTCGGAAAATTGGATAATTGAGATATCCAAAAATTACAAAATTGAAACATTTAAAAATTGAAAAAACCGAATGATTGAAAAATCAAAGACTGAAAATTTGAAAAATTGAATAAACCAAAAATTGTAAAATCAGAATAAACATTGAAAAAATAAAGGAAATGAAAAACGAAAAATGGTGACATAAAATTGATAAACTTAAAATGAAAAATAAAAATATAGAATTTGAAAAATGGAGGAACCGAAAAATTGACAGTTCGAAAAATGAAAAATTCTACTCCTAATATGTATTGAAAAATTGCAAAGTTGAACAGTTACAAAACGAAAAATTGAAAAATCTGGAAGTCGAGAAATTAAAAAATTGGAAGAATTAAAGGTGGAAAAACGAAAAATTATGAAACCGAAACATTGAAAAATAAGATTGAAAATTTGAAAAATTCAATAATAGAAAAATTAAAAAATCGGAAAAACATTGAAAAAATAAAGGAAATGGGAAAACGAATATTAAAAAATCGGGAAAATGAAAAATAAAATCAAGAACTTGACAATACAAAAAATTATGAAATTGAACAATTATTACAAATCGAAAAATTGAAGAAACGAAAAAGTTGGAAAATATATGGAAGAATTAAAGTGAAAGACGAACAATTTTTCATAAAATAAAAATTTTTATACGAGAAATTAAGGAAATGCAAATACGGAGAAAATTATCAGATCTCAAAACTGTAAAATCGAAACGAAAAATTGTGATACCAAAAATTGGTGGAATTTAGATAAATCCAGATTTTTCGAAAAATTATTAGATTTGATTTTTCAAAAAAAAAAAAATTCGTGCAGCAAACAAATAAACAAAAATAAAGTTATAAAAGACTAACGTTGGAAAAAATAACCTTTTAATATATATTGTTTTTAACGTTGGCAGTGCCAATATTACAAGGAAATAAGTAATTAATTTTATATTTAACATGCAGTTCTACAAAATATTTTGCGAAAACATTCTCATCTCCCACTAGTTAGAACTGATTTGTTTTGATGAAAATAGTGTTTCTTCGTAGTATCTCGTCATTGACACAAATATAGTGCCCAACGAATTATTCCATTTTGCACATTTTGGTTTGAAACAAAAAATATAGAAATGTACTTAAGTGATTTAACACTT